GTTAGCTCCCCTGTTGTAAACACTAACTATGTATCCTCACCTGGATGCATGAATTAAAGGTGGTTCACAAAGCAGCTTATCATCAGAAGCACCTGGAAATGTGGGAAAAATGGATTCTTGGGACTAAACAATTGAATCTGAGTTTTTCGGTAAGTCTCAGGTAACCATATAAAAAGAAGGTTCACCAAATGTTTCTAACGATCATTTCAGCCTTAGAATTACTGAAACTACTTCATTGAGTGGTTAATGCCTGCTGCCCATGTTGGGTGCCATAATGGTGGGTCTGATTGCACAATCTTGAGTAGAACTTCAGACATACTTATTCCTGTAAACTGAAGCCATCATTCATGAAAGATTAGTTTGTTGCATTAATCTTTAATTCCTCCCTGTCTCCGAGACTTCAAAGACTTGGACATGGAGACATGGCAAGGAAGTAGAGAGAGAACAAAAAGAAGTAGAGGGATGAAAAACAGCAATAAAGAAGATGTTAAGTGGTTGTAGAGAAACGTGAATACCAAGTTTATAGAATGCATTGTAAAGGTCAGATGAGAATTTAAATCAGATCTATGCAACAGGAAAACCTAAGGACAGATGTGTCTAATTTTGTATTGTGTTTTGACCCAGCTTAATTATATCTATTTGACCCAGTTCAATTATATTCTATCACTAACTTCAAAAAGAATATTTAACACTCAAAGTAGAGGTGCCAAATTCATTAAAGTTGCTACTACATGCTATTCAGCCTTCCTCCTTCCCGCCACCTCTTCCTCCTTAACTCTTTACAATCCAGCCTCTATATTCAAAGCAACAAATTCAAAATCTGCTCCTCTAGTGGCCACTAGTGATTGGACAGCTCACTGCCTAATTCATCAGTCCCTTTTCAGACTTCATTCTTCTTGACAGCTTTGCAGCATTGAATCCATTTACATTCCCTCCTTCTTGATCACCTGTGCTCTCGTGACTGCCTGGATAGAGCCCACTTCACTCTGTTCCCTCATGGGATCAGCATCTGTTATTGAGGTTCATTCATGGGTTAAGTGCTGAGTCACAAAACTGAAGTGGGCCCGGACCCTGCCTCCAGGAATTTCAGTTTAGTAAGATGTCCTCCTGCTTCTACAGTCTGACCTCTCTCATAGATTCTCGGACTGCTCAAGCCCCCTTTAACACAAGCACACCTAATGTTCCCATCTTCTCAGCTCTCTGGTTTTCTCTCAGGGATGTCAGCTATTCTCTTTGGAGGTGATCCCCAGTCCTGGACATCTAGCCCTAAGCTCCTAAGCTTGGCAGTCTTGCCTTCCATGGTCTAACCCAAGCCAGCCTTCCATTTCCTTCCCCATTTCTCTCCAGAAAGCATTTGGTGTTTTGTCTAAATTGGACCTCTTGCTGTTCTTCAGACAGGCCTTTCCTATTCTAGTTTCCATGCCTTTAATCATACTGTTTCCATCTGCTAAAAAAACTCTCCCTATCTGTGCCTATAGAAAAATCACTCATTCTTTAAAGCCCATTCCAAATGTCATCTCTTGCAAGAAGATTTCTCCAATTCCTTCCATGGCCTTCTGTTTCCCGAAACTAGATGTATGCTCTTTTTCCTTCCTTACTCTCATGCCACTCTGTGCTTGTGTAAGTCCTTTATTTATTTCATCTTAATCTGAGTGACTATATTGTCCTCCACTCTAACCTGAGACTTCATTGGGCAATGAGTGCTCCTGTTTACTTCTGTGTCCCTAACACTGAGTGGCTTACAAGTACACTCACAACCATACTCAACATGCCCTTAGTGGACTGAATTGAAATCCAGAGACTGAAGGAGAAATCATGATAGCAGCCCACCTCCCCTACCCCTCCGGCCCATCATCATTTCTTGAAAATTATCTTTAGGAAATAGGATTTTCAAGATAATTTTTTTTTTCCATGAAATGTCTTAGTTTGCAGACAACTAAGATATCCCTCTCTGGTCAGGGATAGAACGATTGCTGTAGCTCTTCTAGGCAGCTGCTGGTGGTGAGCACTTAGGGGAAGTAAAACCAGGGGAGGAGGAGAGCCGAAGAGATCCGTGTTCCCATCTTGATTTCCTAGTTATTTCCTGTGTGACTTCACCCTAGTTATTTATCTTTTCAGAGTCTCAGTGGAATAAAGTTAATCTTCTCCATAGGACTGATGAGAAAATAAGCAAGATTTTATATATGTTTATAAATTTATAGTTCTATATCTTCCTTAAATACTATAGCTCTAGTCCCAGTAATAAGCCACCGGACATGGGAATCCAGTTCACACTTCTTCCTCTTGAGGAAATTACATCGACAAACGGAGTTTTAGTACCATAAACTATTATCAAAATTTGAGGCTTATAAATGCTCTGTTTAGCCACCACGATCTTTCTTTACATAAAACATTAAGAAAATATTCAAAGTACCAGACTGGGCAAAGCAGAGTACTCTGGTAGTAGTGGGTGGGGGCACACAGAAGCCCCTCTCAATGCCTCCCTACATGTTATGGTGGTGGGGGACAGAGTTTTCAGACACAGACTCAGAAATCTGATGCTCAGGAGAATACCAGTTGAAAACCAGTTTTAAATACCTGCAAATTCTACTTGGATCACTTTAAAGGCTTTTGAGATTGGACTTGACCAAGAATTCAACACTGGTCTTTCTGGAAGCATGGAAAGCTAAGACTCCAAGAACAGCTAACCAGGCAAGTGGGGCCACTGAATTCTGGGAGGTACACATGAGCATGCACAGATGCATCTGGAATTTAGGGTTTCCAAAACATAACAAGCACATTAGTCTCCTACTCCCAGGCCTTTATACACCTCCACAGTTGTGAATAAATGGGACATGTTACCACTATTTTGGCCTTTGTACACACTGAATGCAACAATGTAAAATGCATCTGATAAGAAATGGATGGGAACAATTAAACATGTAAATAGTAAAAGAAGGGTGGTGAGATTATAGATAATTTGTTGTGTAATTTTTTAAAAAAATTAATAAACCATTTTTTTAACAACATATATGTGTGTGTATGTATATATGTATGTACTTTTTTTAGAGGAATACCAAAAGGTAAACCAGTAAAAAAGCCCATTTGTTTGATACATCAACTCACTCTGCCTCTAGTTAAACCCCTTACCAAACCAAACCAAGCCAAACAATAACAACAACATAGCACGCTGAGTTAAATCAGAAGCAAGACATCTTTCATTGACTATAAACTAGATTAAATGTGTTTTCAGAACATACAAGCTTTGGGGACACTTTTGCTTTTCAAGTAGCTATTTAAAACCTGACAAAGACACCACACAAAAAAAAAATACACATACGGAGCTTACACTTTTGGTTTAGTGCACCTTCGGAGTCTTATAGCATTTCCTTAGCAAACTTCTGCTAGAAGGTTTAATCTGTATGCAAAGAAGTTCCAATTATTATTTTTAATGGAGATAAAATACTTGAAAAATTAAAGTTTAGGTCGGGCGCGGTGGCTCACGCCTGTAATCCCAGCACTTTCAGTGACCGAGTTGGGCGGATCACGAGGTCAGAAGATTGAGACCATCCTAGCTAATATGGTGAAACCCCATCTCTACTAAAAATACAAAAAATTGGTGGTGGGCGTCTGTAGTCCCAGCTACTCGGGAGGCTGAGGCAGGAGAATGGCGTGAACCCGGGAGGCAGAGCTTGCAGTGAACCGAGATCCCGCCACTGCACTCCAGCCTGGGCGACAGAGCAAGACTCCATCTCAAAAAAAAAAAAAAAAGAAAAATTAAAGTTTAAAGAACGTTAGAGTTTGCAACAGATGGTGATCACTGGGTTAAAATGACATTTAACTGTGCTTGCTATTGTGAAATTGGAATTTCAAAAAGGGGTGAACATGAGAGTTAGGGAAGAAACACGAGCTTAGTTTGAGCAGACATAAATGTTCCTCATTCATGTACTCATTCTCGTTTGTCAATTTATTCAATCAAAAAATAAGAAAAAGTCTCTGTCTTTTATCAGTCATGATTCTTAAGCCATTTCACCTGAGAAAAAATTAAAGTTTTTGATAAGAGAAACATAACCTTTAGGATAAAAGAGATATATGTCAAAATCCTGAAATGGTTTGTACAATCAAATAATACATAAAGAAAAAAGGAAATGACTAAAAATATTCTGTAAGCCTTATTTCTGGTATTGATCATGATTTTCTTTCACATTTAGCAATATTAGTTTTATATGAATCTTTGTAAATTACTGTCATTAGTATTTTCTTTGGAACGTGATACAGTAATTCATAAGCATTTTAAGGAAAAATACATGATGGTTTTCTTCACATCTTTTTTCTTTTGTATGCACTTAATAATTGTGGGCTTACGACCTTCAAAAGAAAAGCAAAGACTAAAATGTCCTCTATTTATGCTAGAGCTACAAAAGTTGATTACTCCTAAAATCAAAGAAAACCATGGGTATATTAAACACATTTTCCATTGGGTTTCTTAAAAATTAGGGAAAAAAAGAAGGAAAATGACATTAGAAATGATTTCAGAAAAAAATGCATAATGACTGATATGATTTGGCTGTGTCCCCACTCAAATCTCATCTTGAATTGTAGCTCCCATAATTCCCACATGTTGTGGGAGGGACCCAATGGGAGGTAACTGAATCATGGGGATGGGTCTTTCCCATACCGTTCTCATGATAGTAAATAGGAGTTTCACGATGGTGGTTTTATAAAGGGGAGTTCTCCTACACAAGCTCTCTCTTGCCTGCCGCCACGTAAGACGTCCCCTGCTCTTCCACTATGACTGTGAGGCCTGCTGAGCCATGTGGAATCGTGAGTCAATTAAACCTCTTTCCTTTATAAATTATCCAGTCTTAGGCATGTCTTTATTAGCAGCATGAGAACAGACTAATACAGTGAACTTTGGATTTGATTCAACTATGATATAAAATCTTTATGCTATAACTTCCTTATCAACAAACTATAAGGAATGTAAAAAAGTTGCCATTATTATAATTTTTGGAACTTACTTTCAAAATCCAGGAAAAAGTGTGGATAGTTTTCAATTTCCCTGGTAAGGACTTTGAGCAGGTTTCCCATCCCAGCAAACCTAGGAAAGGCAACACAAAACCAAATACCATTAGCAACATAAAAAAAAATAGACTTGCATGAATATCCCTGGGCCCCCCATAGCTACCTTTGAATACCAGAAGCATCTCCAACCCAGGGGCTGAGCAATAACGTAGCAACTCATTTCTGAATTGGTGACAGATAAATATCTCTGAGGTGCTGGGTCTCTAAAACTTAGGGACATGTGACCTAAGTCATACAAAGTATGACAATGATAGAAGTGTTACAAGCTCTCTCTTGAGAATACACATGCAGTCCATATCTCGTTCACCATATAAAAAAACAAAAATAATAGTCTATGAAAAGAATCAGGTATTTTCGTTATAGGGGACAAAGTTTAGGAATGTTCTCCAAAGTGCCTCCCATATACTTTTCCTAATCCCCTGGATCCTTAAAACAAATGTTTCGGCTTGGCTTTGCTTCCTTTAGATAGATGTGGAACATGTCACATCAGTGGACAAGACAACAAACAGGGCATTTTAAAAATAACTGTCCAAAAAAGTAAGTTCCTGAAAGCTCATGAGGAATAGAGTTTAGAAAACATAGATTTACACTGCCAGGAACTCCTCTTAACATGTATAAGAGGCCAGATTTCTCAGAGGAGTGGCCCCTGGCAACTTAGAGGATCTTGTGATCTGATATTTCAATGGTAATGACATTGGATACTTCTGGAAGCTTAACAATGAAAAGGCATAATGCCCAAAAAGTTACTCTCCATAAAATTGCAGCCTAAGATATTTGCAAAGGTGAGTCAAATCAACAGAAAAATACAAACCTATTACATATCAGCAGCCTAACAAAAAGAATAGCTAACATGTAGGGTTTTTTTTAATAAACAGAAATTTTCTACTGCTCTCAGTTCTAGACATTAAACTATCTTCTTAGGGAAGTCACCAATCCACACATTCATTCAACACATATTTACGGATGAGCAATTAGATGCTGGGCACTGTGCTCTTGGGAAGACATTCCTCTAACTCTCTGTAAGTGAACTCTTGTGCCTCAGATATCTCAGTTTGTGAAGGATCAATTTGAAAAATCACTTAACTGGTGCAAGGAAACTGCTGGGCTTCAATTTTCTATGGCTATAGTTTCTAACATATTTATGTTGATACAAGGAATTTTAAAAAACACACCACTCTAAGCAAGATGTGGCGAGAGAAGAATGCACTAAAAGGATGACTCTGTGCATGAGAATATGTAGCAAGTGGTGGAATCTGGTCTCCGTAATCCTCCACTGGGAAAACACACATTTGCAGACATACTCCCCGATATAAATCACTAACATGAAACCAGAAGACAGACTGTTTAAGTAGTCTATCCTTTGTTAGACGGCCCAGAAGACAGACTGTTTAAGTAGTCTATCCTTTGTTAGACGGCCGGTGTCTAATCCCAGCTGTTTTCTACTACCTCTGTTATTCAGGCCAAGAGATTTCATCTCTGTAACCCTCAGTTTCCTCATCTGTAAAATAAACTTTTGAAAAGGATCTATTTCATCGAGTTGTGAGAATTAATGAGATAAAAGTATAAAATGCTTAGCACAGCACTTACAGGAAGTGCTCAAGAAAAATTATGTACTTTTACTACTGATGATGATAGTTACCATCATCATCGTCATCTACATGATTATCCTAACAAATGCTTGTGTAGGATTAGGCTATGAAAGATGGATTATAATAGGCTGTATGTTGTGCTAGGAAAGAGAAGACAAACAGAGAAATGATGAGAAAAATATTCTAACCATTATAGTTGTCTGAATATTAAGTAACTTGCCTAGTGAGACAGTGAGTTTTCTCTCGCTGGTGATAGTTACGTAGAAAAATGCTGTATCAGCCCTTAACATCATTGGAAAAATGAGTTATGTGTGGGGCAGAAGGCCGGACTGGACCCATCCTAGACATCTCCCACCTTGAGGTGTAGGAATATATTCGGGCATGCGCGCACATGCACACACATACACACACGCTGGAAAGCAAACATCATATTTCTCCCTTCTCAAAAATTATTATTTGTCTTTTCTGTCATTCTTCCATTCCTTCTCTGCCTTTATGCACATTTCCTTTTAAGATATTTTTGAGCAAAACCTTGTGTGAGGTAGGTTCTGCCAAATTAAAGGTTGGGCTGGTAGAGTCCATGCCTGCCACTGGGCAGCACTCACTACCCCTCCTGGGTCTCTAGGAAATGATCTGTTTCCAGATTAATGAACAATTTCAGATTAGGCCTGGAGTCACTTCTTGTAAGAAGATGATTTTACTGTTTTTAGGAGTACTGATTTTCATACAAAGTGCTTTAATGGAAGTTAAATATTCTTAATTTTCCTAGTTTTGTGCTATGAATGTGTCAAAGGAGACTTGCATGGATTGGGCTTCCCCCTAAAATTCTGTCCTGTATGTGATTTTACTGTCAGAGTACCTGAGTAGAAGATATGCCAAGCCTTTGAAATTCATAACAGATAGAAACAAACACATCTAAAAGTATGTCCAAATATTAGCTGTGGAATTCTATCTCTTCAAAAGGTTATCTCAGTGGATTGACTGATATCATCAGATATTTTTGAGCATCATTCTAACATGAACCAAAGTTAATCACTTGAAAATCCTAGGATTCTAGATGTGTCACCTCTCAAGCAGGGACCTCTAGGACAATGACTGTGGACACTGTGTAGAAATAGAGTACAAGTCTAGTCTCATGGAACCTAGAAAACAAGTGTTTCATCTCATTATGGCCTAATGATGTGATGCTTACTGCCCCACTCCAAGGTTGATAAGAATTAATGCGAGTGTCTTCTGGTTTAGGGGGACCTGCAAAGTGAATTGGTCCATCATCACACAGATGGTCACCTAGTAGACACCACAGTTATTTTTAATTGGACCCAGAGTTTCACTTGGAAAGGCCTCTCATCCATATCCTGCATGACAGATTACTCTCCAAGTTTTTCAAGCAGCTCGTCAGTGAATACAAAATATACATTGCTATTACCACAGTACTCGGGAAATAGCTTAATTAATTCATATACAGCTTATTTTTTATTATTTTATCTCATTCAATAAAATAACTAGTTATTATGCACTATTAGAGAATGTGAATAAACAATGGAAGTAGGGGGAGTAGGAGAGTAAAAGTGAAATAGTAACATAAAGGTAGAGGCAAGAAGTAGATTAATAATAAGCCATCCCATCCAGAACATTTGTTGGAGATGGCTTATCATTTGCTCTTGGATAGACAAAGCAAAGCAATGTCTCCTTCAATATTTGGTGTTCAGAAAATACAAACAGATTATACTAGAGAAGTATAGCTTTTTGTTTTGATTGACTGATAAAAAAGAAAGAGAGTCATGGCTAACAGAGAGTCAAGACAATGAGAAATCTCCTCTCCTTGGGTTTCTAAAGGAGAAGCTGTTTCACAGAGGAAGTCATATTTGAGGATGAGATGAGTCTCAGGGCTTCCATGGGCAGAGCTGTGGTTACACATCCAAATGGGTGGCAGAGTTGCTTGGTTGGGGTGTACTCTGAAGGGCTGGGAACTCTGGTTTCTACATTCTATTTTGGTGATTCCAAGGATACCCTCCTAATGTGACCTGCTGTTGGGTCTATCCCAAGGGACATCAGTTTACCACCTTTCCCTATGGTGTGAGAGCTTATATCAGAGGGAATACGGCAATCCAGCGGGCACTCTGAGCTCCCTAGGATGACTTTAATCTGAGTATCTGAGTTTATTACTTAAATATAGTATGTTGTGTATACTGTAAAGTTTAGAATTACTTTAGACATACATATACAAATATGTACACACACACACACAAAATGACTCCTTTGGCATGTTCAGAAATCATTTCTAAGTTGAAGCCCTATTGTGACATATTGTAGCTACACTGGTGCACATGGAAGTTTTCAGATCTAAATTCATTCCTGTGGGGGAGGGTCTGGTAGGGGTGGAGCAAGGACAGAGAGTACAGGTTGAGTATTCCCCAGTTTCAAAAACCTGAAATCTGAAATGCTCCAAAATCTAAAACTTTTTGAGCACTCACACGACACTCAAAGGAAATACTCACTGGACTCCAGATTTTTGTATCTGGAAGGTTCAACCAAGAGGTATGATACAAATATTCCAAAATAAAAGAAAAATCTGAAATTCAAAACACTTCTGGCCCCAAGCATTTTAGATAAAGGATACTCAACCTATACAAGGTCTTGGCTGTCAGATTAAGAGACAGGAGAGGATATACCAGTTGGATAAGCACTCGTGAAGGGATGGGGTCCTGAAAATCAATATCCTTTATTTGGATGTTTCCTGCTTTGGAGAGTGGCATTGGAAGGTGGTCCTCCTTTCATCCATGTCCTCTCTGGGAGGTCTTTTACTCTTAGAGGTGCCAGTCTTCCCTGCTTAGATTTTCCAGGACTCTGCTCTTTCTCTACTGAAGGGAAGGTGTCTGGGCATCTGGGTCCCCGGGTCCCTGGCATTGGCTGGGTGTATTTTCCCATGCATTGCAAGCTGGGACTAACTTACAGAGATTAAGACACAGTCTTGAAAATCTGAAGCACAGAGTAGGCCAAAGTAACAATACGATGTGTTGACTCAGCTCATTCTCAAACATGACTTCTGTGAAACAGCCTCTTCTCTTAGAAACCAGAGGAAGTTTCTCTTTGTCTTGACTCTCTCTTAGCCATGACTCTTTTTCCTTGTTTTTCATTTAAAAAGCTGTACTTTTCTAGTTTAACCTGTTTGTATTTTCTGAACACCAAATCTTACCCCAAAAGGTGTGTACTGTAAGTAATACATGAATAGCATCATAGAAAAGAGTGCTTGAAAGAGCCTCAAGAATATAAGGCACCATCTCACTGCCTGTTACCCCAGAGCAAGTCATTGTAGCTGTGAGTCTTGGGTTCCTCATTTGCACAACAGTATGATAATAGTATCTCCTGCATGGAACTCTTGTCAGGACTAAATGAACTGGGTGTGAAAGCACCATGTATACCATAA